AGCAGCACTGCAGATAATTATTTTTCCTATCATGTAGCATGCTGATGGCTTTTAAGTCAGTCCACGTATGCATTGAACATACAGAGCACAGCTGACAGCAAGGAAAATCATCTTTAACCGTTTCAGCATTTAGTGTCAGGCTAATTGATTCAAAATCTGATTCAAAATTGATTCAAAAATCTGTCAGGCAGATTGATTCAAAAGGTTCATTGCAAGGACATAAAAAATAACAAAATTAAACAAGTCCAAGCAGGTTGCAAAAAAACCACCATGGAGCCAAACAACAGAACAGGAATATAAACAAGCCACTGGCAATGTCTCTGACTCCTTTAACTGTCCTGAGGTGCTGCTATAGGGATTTGACACAAGCACAGCTTTTCCACTCAGCCTCATCCAAAAAATGCCCTTCACAGCCCTGGCATTTCCCCACCTAAACTGCTCTGCCTTTTCCTTGCTTCCAGCTGTGCCCTCTCTCCTGCAATAAATCTCAGAAATTCAAATAGCTCTTCAATGTCCAAACCTTTGTTCTAAGCAGCAATGGTAATTACCTCTAGAGTGAAAGATTGACTATCAAAGCATTGAGATTAAGTTGTACATTCCTGTGCCTGTACAGCTAAAGGTCAGCTCCAACTGCTGCAGAATTCCTGCTGCCTCCTTTGTCTAGAAGTGTGCTGTCACATAAAATGCAGATGTGAAAAATGTACAATGTAATGCTTGGAAGTAAGATATACTAATGGTCCTGTTTGCCCTCCCCAGAATGAACCAAAATTGCCTTTGCACCTTCCCTGGCTTCAGCTCACAAATCCACCAGCCCAGGGAAGTCACATTCTAGAATTTCAGAGGAGCAGCACCCACAGAGCTGTTCCAAAGAGAGCACAGCTCCCTGCAGAGGTTTTCCAGCAAATCATGAATCAAGGGGCAGAGCTCAGGACAGCTCACTGCCAGGGAACACCAATCCCAACCCATGGAGCAGGAGCTGGCAGAGAGCTCCTGCAGTGGTGGCTTCCCTTGGACACTTGGAGTGAGGACAGGAGCCACCATGACACAACACAGTGGAACCAAACCAGCCTCAGATCTTGTTTTAGGACAAATCCCATTGCAGGGAGGCTTTTCATTCAAAATTTTAATGGTATAGGGGCAGCTTCACGCCTTCCTGGGAAACCTGGGATGTTGATGGATGTGCACAGCCACTTTTCCTTCCTCTCTTCCTAAATGAATATCCAACTTTAAGGATGTCCTCGTTGTTGGAACTAACTTTCTGCACCCTTTCATTAGGCTGGAATTTATGGTCCTCAGGGAAAAATAAAACAAACCAGTTTAGAAATGAAAAGCAGCATCTTTACCACCACAAGAGGTCTCAGAGGAGTTGTTTGGACACTGCAGATTAAACAGCACTAGTCTGAACTCGAGGACTTTAGTCTGCAGCTCCCAAACCTGTCTCCATGGCTTTAGTGCTATAAAACACCTTTTCCATGTTTCAGTTCATCCAAATTTCAGCCATGAAGGATGCCACAGGAGACCAACAGTGCAACTGAGCAACTTCACTGTGTTACAGGAGATTTAGAAAATGTTTTTTCAAAAGCCACTTTAGCAGAACCCTTAGGGTGAAGATACTGGGCTATTGAATCGCACAGACCAAAGTGAAGCCTCCAAAGGAAATTATAGAGATGTGCCTGTGGGATGTTGCAAATGTAGAACCATTTCAAGGGCCAAAATAAATTGTACAGTCTATGAAGCACATGAAGGCATGGAATGGGGGCAAATTCAGCAGAGGAACACCAAGATGGGCAGGCCTGGAACACCTGGGGGGCACAGCTGAGGGAATGGCTCGTGTAGAACCTGGAGAAGAAGTAGTTTTGGAGGGACCTGGCAGCAGCCCCCTGAAAAGATGGAGCCAGGCTCTGCACAGGGACAATGAAACACAATAGGCTGCAAGAGCAGAGGTTGGGATTTGCTATACAAAAACCTTTTCACCTTTAAGGACAGCACAGCTGTGGAGCAGTGTGCCCAGAGAGCTTGTGCAGCCCCCAGGCTGCGACTGAGCAAAGCCCAGAGCAACCTGCTCTGACCCCAGAGCTGACCCTGCTCTGAGCAGGAGGTAGGACAGCAATGAAAAAGTACAACAGTCATCTGGTTCAGCCGGAGCTGAACCTGTACCTCCAACAGCCACCCTCACCCCCCTGCCTCCACCACCCAATGCAAGGGCACTTTTGACCTCCAGGAGCTGTGAAGTTTTCTTGAGTGACACCAAGTTAAACAAACAAGGTTACACTTTCCTCACACTGCTAATGAAGCCATGCCAAACAGAACCCATATGAGAAAACTATTGGTTTTCTCTTCAGCTCTCCAAATAAATAGCTCCTGTATTCAGAACATTTTTTTGAGTAACTGAACTCCAGATGTACAGGCTCACTGTTAGGGCTGGTGTTCTCCACAGCAATGGAGTGGATGTGTGCTAAAGCAAGATGGCAGTACAGCAAAAGCTAAAAGTAGCCTTGAAATGAACCTCATTTTTCACAGAAGTCTCTGATTCCATCAAAGACCACAGCAGAAGCACTACAAATTAATGTAATTTATTTCATTACTTCATGATATTAACACAAACTATTGTCTTTTCTGACTGAGACAGAAAAAATTAGGCCTGTTCAAATTACCCTCATTCTAAAAGAGCATTAAGGCAGTTAAGATCTGCCTTTCATTATTCAAGGTGCAAGAATTCAAAAGACTGAGGATATAGCACAGTTCAGCCTATTTTCTTGAAATTTTCTCACCCAAAAGACAGAAGCAATAGCTTTTCCTGTTGAGTCTTTAGCATTGAGAAATACACAACACATACCAAGTTCTTTCCAACTAATCTGCTTAGAGATTATTTAAAAAAACCAAAAAACCAGTAAATTAAGTTGAATGGAGCTTATTATAAAAAAAATATACATTTCTGTTCAGTGCTACATGCTAAACAGTGTGATTAGAAACTACTGCTGGGGTAGTGTGGAAAAATTGCATGCACAAATGCTTTTACAGATTACACCTTTCAAGTAATTCAACCTGAGCAGATCTGGTAAATGAATCAGGGTTCTGAAGAACATCACAGGCCCCCTGTACCTTGCTGCTGTGAGTTCAATCAGTAATTTGAGTTAGGGTTTAGTGCAATACATATTCTACTGAGATTTAGGGTTTTTATAATATAGGACTAACACCTTTGTAAGAATTTTATATGGAAATGCATTAAATGTGCAGGAGCGTTATCTGAAGTCAGTGGTAAGGGCTATATGTCAGCTAAAATTAGGTACTAAACATCATGAAATAATCTAAGTTTTACACACTCATTACACAGATAGAATTAGATCAAAAGCAAATAATAGCAAGGTAGAGAAAAAGCTCCTTCAAAGAGCACAAATGTTTTCTTCCCTTTTTTCTCCTTAAAATATATCAGCAGAATCATCACTGGAACAACTGTGATAACAGGTAAAACCCAATTACAACATAATATGGAAGTCACTAAGTTCTGAATCAAGTACCTTACTGAAAATAACTTTATAATTAGTGTTTGACAATAAAACAGTTAGAAAATCAAACTGTTCTTCGTGTTTGGCAACCTATCCACAGCAGTGCAAAATAAAGCACCATCATCCACTCTTTTCAGGCCTGATAAAAATAAAAAGACAGAATTCTAAATAATCCTAACCAGTTCAATGCAAAGCACGACCACACGCTGCAAGTTACATTTCACAGAAGCCATCACCATTGAAGTACAAAATTATTCTCCTTTGACTTGCAAACCTACATCCCTGTTCGTGGGGCAGGATGAAAGACACTGGGAGAAAGGGACTCCAAAAGAAAGGAATGCCATGAGGCACATATCCCCAGCCTCTTGCTGAGCTGCCATCCTCATTAAGGTTGTGCCGTTCCTGTGTGTAACTGCAGTGCCTGACAAACAATATCCACTCCAGAGTCATGACCTTTTGTAGGCCAAACAGAAATCAGCTACTCACAAGGTTTCTTTCTTCTGTGGCTTCAATGAACGTGCAGCAGAACCGTGCTGATAGTGAACAAATTTAAATTACTCAAGTGAAAACAAATCTGTCCTAAAAGCTTGCCAGGTAGCTTGGGGACAGTAATTTGCCTCTCATTTTAAGCAACGTTGAGAATTGCTAATAAACAGGAAATGCTCAAATACCCAGAAAATTCCAAATGGAGCCCAGGTATACCAGTGCCACTGCGGTGCCTCTGTTCCCCAAAGCTGGTACAAACATGCAGAGATGAGCATGAGGATCTCCACAGGCAGGCAGCCAGTGCCTGCTGAGCTCACTAAATAACTATATAATATAGTTCCCCAAAGCTGTGCCAGCTCTTTGAAAGGTTATTGCAAGCCACAAGTACAGCAGAAGTTTTGTTCCTCACTCCTTAAGATGTTGCTGAACATTTTCAGGAGATTCAAATTCCATCTCTCTCCTATCACAGGGATTCTGTTTGAGGATCAAAGCAGCTTCAGGGACTATCTGCCCATTTTTATCTGCTTCTCTGAGTGTTTCTCTTCTCCTTATGTTCTGTGGGAGACTCACACAAGGGAAAGTGAGGAGCTAGACCTATCAGATTACTCTACAAATGCACAAATAAGAGCACAAAACAGTTCCCTGTCTGATCCCATTCCAGTTCGTTCAATACCTCCAGCAAAAACGTATAAAACTTGACACTTCACAGAAGAGTGTACTGCCCTTTCAATGTCACTCTTCAATCGGATATTTCCTGAGAGATATAAATTTCCAGCCTACAGCAGAGCCCTCATTGGAAATGGTGACCAGGACATTACCTGTCCACAGAAAAGTCACAGTCTGCATGCCCATCCCAGCTTCAGCCTTACTGGAAAGGACAGGGCTTTTCTTTTGAATAATTACCCTGCGACAGAGATGCCGAACCGACAGCAAATTCATCCTCTAGAGGCTAAGCAAAAAAAAAAAAAAAAAAAGTTTCATTGTGCTATTTTCTCTTCTACTCGATAGGAATCACGAAGAAGGAGTCGGGATGCTCAGGCACATGGAAAATGCTGCTGCCACGAGAGAAGGCAGGCTGGGATGACAGAAACGAGCTGGTGACGAGCAAGGACAACAAGCAAGCAGCTGCTGAGATGCATTCTCACCAGAGAAACCCCTCTGTTTCACTCTCCAAAGGCTCAGGAGGTCAGTGCGCTCAAATGGAGAATTTGTAATTGTATCTAAGCTGAGAGTCCCCTACTCCCCTCTTAGCAGCTTCCCTGCATGCATCCCCCCAGGCTGTAAAGGAAAGGAGGGAGGGAGCACTTTGCCCCTCGTTTGGTGAACAATTGACTGAACAATTCAGCTAAGCACGGGAGATGGTCCACAGAAAGCTGTGTTTGCTCAGTTATCAGATCAAAAGGCTTTAAAATTAGCCCCTGCTTCACCCACTGAAGGAAATTTTAATTGCCGTGATTTTCCCCTTTTCTTCCCCTCCATCTCTCAAGGAGAAAATAAAAGCTCCTACCCAGTTCTGTGTGTACCATGCACCCCACGAGATCCCCGTCAGAGGGACAAGAGACATTTTCCATTTTATCTGAGAGTAAACACAGCAGGGCACTTTGTGTTAGTTACAAGATTTTGGGATTGAATTTTCCCTTTATTTGACTAAATTTCCTGTGACCACTGTCAGTCAAGGTGTAGCCTGTTCTGTAAAGTCAGGATGTCCAGCGCTCCAGTGTGTTTCTCTAGAACAAACCTTATTTGAACTGCTGGGATAAAGAGCAACATCGATTTGTGGGACCACAGTGTCTTCTGGTGACAAAAAATAGCCAGGAAGGCTCCTTGAGATAAGCAGAGGAGGAGTTCTGAGTGCCGAGGGCTTTAAACTCAGCGTGGAACAGGATTTGGATAATTCTCCACTGAAATGTGACTTGGCAAAATCAATGCCGAACGGCCCTTGCTTCTCATCTATTGCCCAGCAAACAAGGGGTTGTGGATTTAAAAGGAAAAACCTCAAAAGCGTTGGCTCATTATTCTCATGAGTCTGAAGACTCTTTTCCCACCCATTCTGTGTGCCACAACCAAGGATAAAGATAGTGGAGGTTGTGTGATTCCCATCTCTGACACCTGGTACACCCAGACACTTCTGAAATTTCACCAAATGCTGCTGGAATTTGTAGATACTGTTATTGCTACACGTGCAGGAAATGTTTCCTTAAGAACCACATTGCTTGGTCCCCAACATCCCAGCCTTTAGCCAGGAAACATTAAAAACCCAAGTGGCTTAAATTTCTCATTATTGCTACAGTTGCATGAGAGCAGTTAAATTAAAAATGCAGTCAAATCTCTCTATATATACAGACAGCAAATCTGATACCAAGAGCTTAATTTTAAAACATTGTCATTTCTTTAAAAAAAACCCAAAACAACATTGTCTTTTGCATTTCAGTTGTGGAAGTTGCTCCTTGCTTTTCTAGTACAAAATATATCTAAGAAATGGGAGAAGAGTAATGCAGAGCAGGAAAGGGCCATTATCATGACTTTTGGAAGAGAAGGCATAGAATATGTAATTTAAAATCAGAAAATTACCTAAATAAGGACGTTCAAATAGAACTTTTTTTTTTTTCAGTTAAGCTTCCAGAAATTCAAGTAAAATCATGAAAATGTCACTTTCACATTAATTGACAAAAAAAGTGAAATTCACAAAGACAAGTGAGAGCACTTTAACTTGTAAGAAACCCCGTTGGCTGTTACTACAGCAAGATACAGGACAAGAGAGGAAATAATCTGATTAATTTACCTTAGTAACTTATATTTGTTCTCACCTAGCCATCCTGTGCCTCAGAAAAAAGGATACTGGGAAGCAAGGAGGTAACAAACAATGGAGTCAAATTCTCTAAATCACCCCCAGGACACCAGCAATAATGTATAGTTTTTCATCTGTTGATATAAAACTTAACTATAATAATAGATAACCATTCCAAACATACCTATAGATGTTACTGCTTTTTAGGTGGAGAGAAACAAACCACTCTTGTTCCCTATAACACCTCTCCTGGCTTGAGTTAAGAGGTCAGCAGGTTAATTTGTGATTAGGGAAAATGAACTCCAGCTGGTGTTACCAGTTCGGTAAAGTTATCAAAGTATCCAATAAATGACTGATGAAGAGAGATATTTTCTAGTCTGAAAATGGGGCTACAACAGGGAGTAGCTATTCTGTAAAAATTATTGGGAAAGAAGGGTAAATACCAGTAACAGGAAAAAAAGAATGATGTGATTTAAGTTAAGACAGTGTTAAAAAATAATAAAGAGGTTGAGCTGGCCAAGGATAACACAGGCTAGACATCACATATCTTCCTGTTAAACATTTTCTAACATATCATTAAGAATTCCTCAGGTCTTCCCAAAGTTGGCAATTTCTTTTTGATAAAAAGTGCAATTTTGATTTTTTTCTTGAAGAATTGCTAGTTAGCTTCAACAAAAAACTTTTGCGATCTAATATCCAGTCCTGCTTGAAATGAGATAAAATGCACTTCTGGATATAATTGAATTCAAATATATGAATAAATATGAATTAAGAACACGAATTAAGATATAATTCATCCCTGGACAGAGAGGATTGCAGAGCTATAGTCAGGGAAAAGTAAAAATAAACATCTTCAACTGACAGCTATGAAAATCCCTGGTAACCTCTGGAAATCCAACTGAAAAGAGATTTGTTTGCACATCACCAGGTACTTAGCAGTTACTACGGAGCTGAACGTCTCCACTGCAGCATCTCCTGGTTGGATTAATGCTTAATTAATGCTTAATGCTTCTTTTAGTCTTGGGCAAGTTAAAGCACAAAGCGCTTCACCTCAAAACGTTAAATGTGATATCTGAGCTGTCACAAAGCAAGGACTGCGCTGCTCAGGTATCGCTTACCTGCATTAGGCTCGATAATTAGAATTTGGTACTCCTGTAGTACTTTCCACAGAGAGCAATCCTCATTAACCATGCCCCAACCGCACAGAAAATTGCAGGAACTACAGAGGCCCTGTGGTATTGTCTCCCTCTGCTGAAGATCGGTGAGACAAGAGCAGCTCCGCAGGACAAAACGACACAAGCCCCACGGGATAAAGAGTAAATCCAGGATTGATGACCCCTGAATACCGAATTCTGCCCTCCTGCAGCAAACAGCTAAGGGATTTACTGTCCAAAACCAGCGCCCCGAGTGAAAACTGAAGAGCTGTGAGGCAGCAGTCAGTACCAGGAGCAGAAATTTAATCTGAGCCACAATTGTGATGCTGGTGAGTTTATTCTGCAATCACATTTCAGAGGACTTTTCGTGGCAAACTTGCATTAAGAGCACTCAATAACCCCCAGCTGTACTTTCTTTGTAAACCAAGCCCTTCATTGCAGCCTGGTCTCTTTAGACTGCAGAGATCACTAGAACAGTCAATTGCATATGTACTAATTGCAGCAAATGAAAATACTGGATAAATATTCACCGGTATGATGTAGTTAAAATTAATGTGAATAATTAGATTATTTAGGGTAGCAATTTGAATATATCTGAGCCTGATTTCTTTTTAGATACTTAATCACGTCCAATTTTATTTTAGAAAAGGTTTGTAAGATCACTTTGTAGGGCTGTTTTGGTTTGTTTTTGTGTTTTCTTTGTTTTGTTTTTGTTTTATCCGTGTGTGTGTGAACATTTCCAGAGGATCTAAGACTAAAAGCAGCCGCTGATTTCAGACGGTCACATCGGCATTAGGTGGCACAGTGCTTTCCCGGCGGGCAGCCGTCACCCCACCCACGGTGCCCTGAGTCTTTACCTTCTCCAGCAGCAGCAGCTTCTGCAGCTCTTTGCTCAGAGGAATCTTTGTGCTGACTCGATCCATAACATCCAGCCCCAGCGTTTTTTTCCAGTGCACCACGCTTTGCGTAAAACTCCCACGAAGAACGAAACTAATTCAGTTTTCCACTAGTTATGAACGCACCTTCCAGTCCATTTCACTCTCAGGCTCCAGACACATTATATCCAACCACTTCCAGGCAACATTACCTGCAACAAAACTCCGGAACCAACCTGCTTCCTACCGCATTTTTCCTAAATGCCGAGTGCCCAATCTGCCTTGCAGTGGACCCAGCAGGTGCCCGCTGACTCGGCTGCAAACCACGCTATCAGCAAACCCAGTTTGTCCCAGTGTCCGATTGATGGGGAGGCCGTGCCTTTGGAGAAAGCTGTCCTAGGTGATGCTCTGCTTGCTCGCCACTTCTCCGCCAGCCTGGATACAGGGATTTTTGCCTGCCGGGATTTACACTGCCAGTCACAAAATGCCCGAGGCAGGAATTAACCTGCCCTGAGAGAGTGGTTTGCTGCTTCAGCTGATGAAACCTCTGATGGCAGCTTCGCAAAGAGAGGATGTCACCATCGGGATCACACACGCCGGCAGCAACGAAGATAGGAAGGAGTCAAGATGAAAGCAAATAAATTCGGCGGCACCGGAGGGCTCCAGCACTGCCTCTGTGGTCAAGCCTTGCCCAAGCTCTCCGCCCCTGTCCCGGCTGCTAGTAGCTCCAGGGAGGGGCACTCCCCCTCCAGAGAATCCCACTCGGGCCTTGAGGAACCTGCCTCTAGTTTGCGCTAAGATTTCACAGAGACAAAAGACTCCCTCCCCCCTTCTCCCCAGGATCAGGGCTCTTGCCCTGTCTCAGATTACACTTGCACGAAGCGAGGGCTGGCGGAGCAGGCAAAGGAGGCACCGGTGCAGAGCATAGGACACGCTCTAGCCCTGCCCTGCACGCTGGTGACAGGCATTTGCACAGGTTGTTCCTGTTCTGCAGAGCTCGGCATCCTCTCAGTCTGCCTGCAAAATCCTTGACAGACAAGGTAAGAGCACAGCTTGCTTTAGAACCCACTGCTCACAGAGGAATCTGGTGTCCAATTCGGTGTGCTATTTAGTGGATTTTTATAGGTTCTTAAATTCCATGTTGCATTAGAATAATTTGTTTTTTTTCGACTGTCTTCTTTGAAAATGAGCCCTAAAGTGGATTAATCTTCCTTTTCTTTAAAGGGTGAAGTAGGTAACAAAATTAATTCACTGCTCAGAACGTCATCTGCACAGCCACCTCACCAATCCTACGTATTCTGAGCCACTGCTACCCAAAAGTCACACTATACAAATTCTGCTTTTGTCCATGGATCACCAGTACTGCACATTGTATGATCCTCACAAGTCCCCTTTTGTATTGTCCATCGCTACATGCCCAAATCAGAAGACTGAAAATGCTCACTGCATATTCCTTACAACCATATCACTGGATGTCTGACAATTTACAGATGTGCTGTCATCCATGTGTCCCAGTACTAATGGTCACTTATTTTTCCTCTCCTTGTTATAATGAAAACATCACCCCTCCCTCAAAGAAAAAAACCCTAGTTCTTAGCTTGATTTTAGGAAGAACACTGACAGAAAAATCAGGTTCAATACTGGTAAGTTGCTAATCCGTATTTGCACTTGTTTAGTCCCATTATACATAACTTTCTTATACCAGAGGGGCTACTTGACAAAGGCAACATTTTCTCTATTTATCAATACCCTGAAGCTGCTTTTGGGAAACTCTTCCCCAAGATTTTTCAGCTTGTAACATGAATATTCCAATAGTTATATTTAATGTTATTTATTTAATATTTTAACTCACCAAATAGTACTTAAACAAAACAAGGCATGAAGAGACAGAAGTCTTTCCAGATGCTTAAGAGAACTTCCAAGTTCTGTTGTTTCTTATTAGTGTCCAAGCTGGAAGTGTAACAATGCATCTACCCAACGTGTACCTGATACCAAAGGGAAAATTGCCTTCTCTCCTTTAACTTGTCCTGTGCACACATGCAATGGACTGTTTTACAGAAAAGCAGGTTGGTCTGTGAGACAAGTTTTGAGACCAGCAGTGCAAGGTGTTTCTGTCTCCAGCTGCTCATTTCTGTAACACATGTGGCAGCAATTTCTGCTTTTTTTAGAGGCTGATCTGCTGGCTACTATCAAGCTAAAAAGGGACCAAAAATGAAGGCTGCAATTCTCCAGCTGTCTCTGCTCCTTGCATGATAAAACAGGAATGTAACTGGATGACCCTGTGTCAGGAAAACCAAGAAGATTTAAGCAATACAGGTAAAAAAACCCAACTGACACTCAAACAAATCCTGCATACCACCAAAAAAGTTGCAACAAAATAGTAAAGCAAATCAGTACTTAAAAAATATCTGCTGAAGAGCAGTGGGGTGATTTCCAACTGGGATTCCTTGCAGTTTTTCCTCCTCCCCTCCACCTGGTTGTTGGTGAAGAAATGTGAAGTGACTAAGTCAAGAGCATCCCTGCACTTGTCCCTCAGTAGGCTGAGGGAAAAATAACCTGGGAATCAATTTCCTATCAGAACACCTGGCACTGGGAATCTCTGTCACCTTGGCTGGAATTCAGCTCAGGAAATTTCCACAAATAAATATCAGTCTGCAGCATGGAACAAACAAATCTACCCAGCAGGATTATTCTGCTGTCCTTTTAAAGAGAATAATAAAGAGGGCTGAATTAATATTTTACTAGATACAAGTCTCAACATTATTGAATCACACCTGTAAAGGTATTGGTTCTTACACCTACTGTGAGGCACCTGAACCAAATCCTCAAACAAGTTACAATTAATTTGTTAGAGGCAATTTAAAACCAGCAGGCTACAAGAAATCAAAAGCAGCATCCTACTTTCAAACTAAGTTCAGGTATTAGCTACTTAGAAATTGAAAAGCAACATTCTGAGACAGAATTACAACACTACCAAACACACAATGTCAGGTGAGATTTGGTGTTCCAAAGCTCTAGTTTATACTCTGTATTGTGATGCTGTGGATTATATAGTGGATGAATAAAGAAGGAAAAATGGTTTTACTTGAAAGCAATGCATTTTGTTATTAGAACTTTTTACTATAACAACTTTTGTGCAACACATCAATGAAACCCAGTATGCAGAAACATAAAAGCTTGTTGGGAAAACACTGGCAGTTTCTATAGCTGACTAAAAGTATCCATTATTTATGGCATCTTTATTGTCACACTCCACGGCAATATGCAAGTCCCTGCTGAATTTCTGTTTGATTCACTTCTGTTTTCTGGAAGAGATACCAGTGCAAGTGTAGTTACTGAGCTCCCTACAAATTTTGCAATATATTGCTGGCTGTAAGACTCAGTCACTCAAAATGAATTCTTTTATCTTTTATATTTTAAAATATAAACTGCACTGAACAAATTCATTCAAGGTAAGAACCTGACCTGGGTACACAAACAGTACAGAAAAGCAAGAGAAAAAACACATTTTGTGCACATTCCTGACAAAATTATCAGTGAAAGTTAACTGTTACATAAGTCCAAACTTATTCACACGGCACATTACTCAGCAGAAAAAATGACTGGAAGCCACTCCTCTCTGTTAAAGCAGTTAAACATTGAAAAAGAAGTTATGTTAAAGGACTGGGATTTATAAGGTTAAGATACTGAAAGAACTCAACTGTAAAAGCTGGATCTGTGGAAACCCCCAGACATCAAAGAGAGAATTCCAATTTCTCCACTGTATACTCAGGGCATTCCAGAGGCAGAGGACACTGGACAAACCAAGAACTGGGAAGTCATTCTGCAATCCTGGAGCCCTTCTGCAGCAAGGCCTGGGTGTTGTGGGCACCAGACACTGGGTGAGGCAAAAAAATTCTGTGTGTCTTCATTGTGGCACAACATGCAGCAGTGCTGGCAGCAGCCCCATCTCCTCAACACTACATGCAATCCTCAACACTACAGAAAGCTGGCAAAACTCACCACTGCCACTGTTTCTATGCAGCAATGAAACCACAGACTCGAGTCTTTCCAGTGCTCTAGCAAAAGCAAAGGGGCCTCGAGAGTGCCTGTGTTATTCTAGGTCAGTTTGCATGCAAGCAGCACTTTGATCTTTCTTCCCAGACTCATTCACAGACATCACGGGGCTGAATTTAATTTTGTAAGGGTTAAACTCATTCATTTGCCCTCATTGGACAAAATCGCAAAGGGGAGGGAAATAAATTTATAAACAGAGATCAGATTCTATTTACCAGCCTGCTGTAGCAGGGCTTTCTCTACAGAACAAAGCAGTCCAAGATTTATTACTTTCTACAAAGCATCTGTGATGATTTCAGGAGTCCAAACAAGTGGGATGCCAAGGCTCACTTTTAGCAGCTTTTTGCTAGTAACTGGGACAAAACAATGACTCAGAAGTGCAAAGACCATAAGGTGGGAAATGCAGACATGAAATATAAAAACGTTGTTCATAAATCAAAACAGACAAAAGATTGCTTCTCCAAACCTGTTACTGATCCTCCATTCAGTTTTCCTTAGAATTAGTTAAATTTCTGGGAATAATACTAAGAAGCTTTAGCTAATACACAGCATCAATGTGGGTCATGTACAAAACCTTGTGCTGTTAGGTCCAGCAAGTCACAGAGTCTGTAAGAGGTGCCTGTTCTTCCTCAGATTATCTGTGCTTCAGCAGACTCATCAAGCTCTGTGTAGGTTGTAAAACTTTTCCTTGTTTTTTTTTTCTCCTTTATTCTTTACCCATTAAATTTCCTTTCCAACATAAAAGCAGACTGTACATAGTATCTGAAACACTATTACATCAAATCAATAGAGAGAAATATTACAGTCATTCTAACAAATACTTTTCTTCTTAAATATTGTAAAAATCTGTATCACTCTAGCGACCATCTCACATCCCCCTCACTGAAGGATGAGATGAGGAGGCCTGCTTGTTTCAACAACTGCTTTCAGCTCAGCAGTTTAAGGTAAAAATACCCAAGCAAAATATTTCAGACGTTTTAGTGTGCCTAAAATGTCGTTATCTTAAATTTTAAACTAATTTTCTTGTATGTTCACACGTACTGCTGAAATTCAGGGACAATGTATTTCAGATGAAATTCTTTCAAGTCCATTTACATAAACGGTGCTCGACGTCAAAATTAAACATGCTGTCAACAATCTGTACAAAGGTAAAGGTGAAAAATATAATCTGATTACAAAAGAATTTAACACCATCTGTACACCACAGATAATGCTTTTTAGAAGATAAATTTATCACCATCCTCATTCAATCATTCTGAGATGTTATCTCCCAATTTCTAAAACATGTATTTTCTGTGTATTTATATACAATTAGTGTTTTTATAGTATTTCCTGCTTGACTGTGAAGAGTTCAGGTATTATACAATGGCTCAAATGAGATGAATGAGGGGGAAGCTTATGCATGTTACTTTAATTAAAGATATTTCACTTGTCTAGCTCCAAAAGAGCCAAGAAAGGTAAGTGATAAAAGCACCAGCTTAGACTCTTTTGAACATAAATTCAGGCATTTTAATGTGTATCTCATTAAAGCTACATGAGTTTCCATGTAGGTTATTCATACATATTATGGCACTTGGACTTTCCTAACAGGTATTTAGTTACCTAGGACATCTAGGCTAAAAAAGAAAACATCTGCTAAAATTAACCATTTCTCTAAGAGAACACTGCTGTCCCAACTTTCAAACCCCTTAATTTTCCTGAAAGTTGCACCAAAATACAACTGTTGATATTTCACATTCTTTGAGTAAATTGCCTTTGACAAGGAAGTCACATTAACTCATGAGTTTCAATCTCTAGTGATTTGTGAACACAAAGAAAGGCTGTCTGACCCATTCTCAACAAACTGTCCCTCTCCTTTGTAATTACAGTATGCAGTATAGATACTTTTGGAGCCATTTCTTTTGTTGGACTAAAGGCTTAGCAGTTATGACACACTTTGTCAGTCCAAATTTAACCCAAGGCAGTTCACACTGGCAGCTTTTTCTCCATGTAAGGCATTATTCTGACATCTACTGGCCTGGTATCCAACTGTACCTCTTAATATACTGCATTTGTTATTAAAAAGGAGTATATATATATATTAATCCAAAGATAAGAACAATTTAATGAATACAAATGACACACATTTAAAACAGGCCCATGTATTTTCATATAAATCTCACAACCCTACCAGTATTTTGGTAGGTTTTTTCTATTGCTTTCTTAACTCATCCAAACTACTGTATATTACAAGGCTTTAATACAAGCAGCTTTGGGGAAGAAAGTTATATATGGAAGGGAAAAAAAGTTGTGACAAGTGAAAACAAAAACCAAAACAAAACAAAAAAATAATCCAAGAAGCTTTTTTTTAAAAAAAATCTTTACTTGTAAAATTAAGCAGCATGCTATTTTGTGATTTATATTTGAATTTAAAAAGACTAATTAGACCAAAATAAAGACAAAAACCTAAAAATGGCAAGTCTATAAATAATGAAAATTTTGATTTCACTAGACTTCAATGAAAAACATTTGGTAATTAAATACTTGCTACTGTTCATTATGTTGATGAACTTTATTAGGGTTAAAACTATAACAAAGTTCATCCTAAAACTTTTCGCGATGCAAAATTATTTTCACTTGAGGAGTGTCTCAAATTGAATGCTAAGAATTACAAGCAATCTTCTGGAGCAGACACTCACATTCATAAAACTTTATACATCTTTTGGAACCTAAGATATTTATACTACTAAAATCGAACATGCATCACTTCCCATACATTCTGGTATCATGATTTATATTACATTATGTAACACCATTCTTCTAAACAGCAGCAGTTTATCATACGTTTGCTCCATTTTCTTTGGATTTCTGATCTTTTTCTTCGTTCTTCACGATGTCCTTTAAAAGGAAAAAGGGAGAGAGTGAGAGGAATTGTACAAGCTTTATTTCTCATGAGAACTGGTATCCTACTCAGTTTAGTTATAACCAATTCCAGGATCTTCCTGAAAAACTGAGGGGTAGAAATGCTCTGGAGCTTCTATGTTTTGCTTAAAACTCATTTTACTGAGATACTCTCACATACTAAAATAGTTGAATTCTGCCTTGAAAAAGTACTCTTGACCAGTCAAACAGAGGAGTAGATTTGGACTGCTGAGGATGGACAAGATCAGGACAGGAAAAGAGACAGTTTGAGATCTACATTAATATTTATACCTTTTTAAAAACATTGAACACAGGAACATATGTTGCAGGTAAAGAAAAATACATATTTAGTTTGCTACCTTTAAATAATCAAACATTAAGCTTCTTCTCTATATATGTTAAGATACTGCTGCCCTGAGTTCATGTCAAAATTGTTTTTATATTGAAATGCTTGTTCCAGTAATTATTCTACAGAAGTTTGTAGATGACAACAATAAAAAAAATGGAATGAGATAATTCTAACCTGTTTGAGAACACTCTGTATTTCATCCATAACAGTAGCTAAATTTTTGATTGTCTTATTCAGCTGACCCTCAAATTGCAATTTTTTATCATCTGAGGTCTTCAAATTTTCTTGCAGCTGGCCAAGGTCCTTTTTTACTTCTTTGAGCTCCGCAGATAGCGTTTTGTTAGAATTCTCCAGTTGCAGTATAGTTTTTTCATCCTCATCTTAGGAAGGGAAGAAATGAAAACATCAAGTCACTTCCAACTCTGTGCACTTTGCATCTTAATATTCTATTTGTGTGCAACACCATAATACTTATTTTTAAAGAACATTAAAAACAGCGTTGAATTATCATTTGATAATACTTAATTCTGACTACATTTCAAGTCTTGAAGAAAACTTAAGTCACAAATATTACCCAAATTGATTTATCTACTTAAAAAGTCTCAGTGTCTTGCACCCCTGTAAGAAGAACTACCTTCAAAGCAACATCTCACCTGTTTTTTCTTCCAGCAGCTGCAGCTTTTGCTCTATCTCTGCCCGCACCCTTTCACTCTTCTCCAGCTTCTGCAGAAGGCTGCCCACGTCCACCATGGCTCCGTTGTAGACGATGAGCCCGACGTTCTCCTCCGCGGCTTTGCTCTCCTGCTTCACAGCGGGCGACGGCAGCAGCAGGCGGTTCCCTGCAGTGGGGTCAGCAGCACCAGGAAATAATCCTCATTCCTTAGTGACCAGCCTCAGAAACTTCTCATGAGGACAAATACAAGTTTGCTGCTCTATCCCTCACATTTCTCTCCTTTCCCTGACCCTAATTCTGCTCCCTGCCAAAAAGAAGCATTCTCTTTTTCAAGGCATCATTCTATGCCTCTTTCCTGCAGGAATTTCTCTTAAAAACTCAGCTCTATTCTACTTCCTGCAGCTCTGAGCCTCCTGACTTCAAAACTAACAATGAGAAATGATGTTCATCAGTGTAGAACATTAACCTTGTCCTCTTTCCTGTTCCAAGATATTAAGATTTATCCTAAAGTTGCAACATTATGCGTTGGAAGCACAAACACTGTTACTTTTGAACTGCAAAAGATTTACTTTTCCAAACTGTCTCAATTAGTTTCTGCAAGAACTCCAGTTCCTCAGAACTCTCAGCATCATTCCCATAGAAATAACTCTCTGGAAATTCATGGCAAAAAAAAACCACCCCAAAAAACCCACCTAACATATCTTCCTGTAGCTCGTCAGACTCTTCTTGATTTTCTTCATCTTTAGAAGTATCTGTTAGTCTTCTGTAAAAGCAAGATTCTCGAAGCACTACTTTATTAAGCAGCTTCTTGACCTACAACACAGCCAAGGGAAAAAAATAATAGTGGTATTTAATACCCAGACATCCTGTTACCTAAACAAGAATGCTTTAGCTTGGAAAACTTAAAAGAAATTGCATCACTTTTTGAACTTTAACATACTAGGGCTTACAATGCAAACAAACTAGGAGAAGAATAAATACAAGTTTGAGACAAAAGCTACATATACAGTATGGGCATATTATAAGCTGCAAACTTCATCTTTTCACTCCAAGAAAATTTACAAAATATTGAACCAGTATTTCATTGTAGATATGAAGTGGCTGCATAAAAATAAGAGATCAGGTATGTAAGCAAAGCCTTTAGAAGCTAAATTATATTTCTCCCACTTAAAACATCCCTGTAACAGTTTGGAAGATTTTTAGTAGTATACAAAACCTGAGCACGTGACAGGTGAAGTCCAAGAGTGTACAGGATCTCCTCCATGTCCTTCTCCAGAAGGTATCCACAATGACTTTGATCAAAATAAACAAAAGCCATCAGGAGATCCCTGTTAACAGTCACCATCTGGGTCTTGTCTTTCTCCTACAAAAAATTGATTATGAGATCATTAGGGAGTTAAAATACCATTCCAAAAACACACCAACTTCTCACTTAACAAAAGTTTTTTCTCTGTTCATTTTATTGTTCAGTCAAGTAATTAATATTACTAGCATTTACCTACTTAGATCACATTATTTAAGACTAATTTAAGCAATATATGACAAGTAATCTTTTAATATTTAAAAGAAATACACCACAACGAATAGTAATAGCTGGTAGACACAATTTCCTTTTGTTCATGCTAGTATGTAAAAATGGTCATAGTATTAACCTCATTATAAAATAGGAAACATCTCTTCTGCCCTCAATCCTTTACTTAACAGCTATTTTCAAAGGAAAAAACGGGTCTTATAACAAAAATAAAGCTAAGCTGTAATTAGGACACCTCTAATAAGGTCTATGCAGTTGTTAAGAAAGGTGTTAATTACTTTATCTTTAGACGCCCTCTCTTTACAATGCTTATTTCCCTCTCTTCTGTCCTCCCGTTTGTTCATTTCTTCTTCATCCCGGTCTGCAAAACAGAAAGAAAATTCAAAATACCCACAGCAAACCGTTACCAAAGCACATGTGGCCACTAGAAAAGTCCACATAACAAACATCCCGAAACATCTGCAATATGCTTCCCTGAAAAATAATAAAAAATGCATTGAAGTGAGCTCTGTTAAATTCTGATTTTTCTCTAGTCTTATTTTTACATAAGCCATTTATAATCTTTTCCCTAGGCTTGTTTCACACACAGGACAGAAGAGCTGAAACAAATGCTAATTAGGCCAAAATGAGTTCTGCCAGTATCTCCATCTATTTAAGTGGTGTGCAGGAAATTACCACAATTCTCCTTAATGAGGCTTGGCAGAGTCTGCACTCAGCTATGGTTATTCCTATTCAAATTCAGCATTATTTACTCTCAAATATTTCATATAATAAAACCCATATAAACTATGTAATTAAAACCATGTGTTTATACTCATGTTGAGTGGGAGATTACTCTTCCTATGACTTAGATTCTCCAAGAAGTTACAGATCACATAATTTATTAGATGTGAATTACAAATGGAAGGTTTTTTGTCTGAATGTAGGTGGTACAGCAAAACCAGACTGAAAGAGAGGAAAGGATGAGGCAGCTGCTGGGATGGCAAGCAGCTCTGTATCTTATGTGCAAGTCTTGGGTCAGAAAATCATGTACCAAATCCTGCTTTAAGCTCACCTTCCTTGTGAAGAAAATTTTGAAAAAAAACTATGTATTACGACACTTGGCTAATTTTACCAACTCTTTTCTGGGAACCAATCGCTTTCTCCTGCACCTCCATGCAGGTTGGGTTTTCTCAGCAACTCTTGTCTGGGAATGGCACAAGGATTGTGGGAAGCAGCAGCACTTGTACAGGACAGACAAGTCCGGGCCACTCTTACAGACAAATTATAAGCAAATCTGAGTTATTCTGGAAACCACAGATTAGCATCAGTTTTTTAAGGCTGGTGCAGTACTCTGCCAAAAATACAACTGAAAATGCTGGGACTGCAATATTCACACGGTTCAAACCCACATCTTTAGCAAAACCTCTCCACAGAAAGGCAACTACCCCAAAGTACAAACCAAAAGCAGGCATGATGTTTTCTGAATCTCTGAGCAGGGAAGGAGCTGCTCTCGTTGCCTGCAAAGTCCTCCAGACCCTTTCCCTGTTTCTTCAGGCTAACACAACTCTACCCAAACAAAACCAACTTCTTGTAACATGGGCTAAAGAGCACCCACACTACATTCTGCCCTAGCAAAACCAGGATGACATTCCAGAACTGAGGAGTAAGAAGTTAGGCATGTAAAAGTGGCTTGGTTTTTCAGAGGTGCTGAATACTCACATCTCCTACTGACTTCAATGGGAGTTGCGAGTGGTCTGCATTCTGAAAAAAATAAAACCACTTCTATATGCATGCCTTACTTAGAGCACCACAGCTACTTTATATTAACTACGTTCACACAATGCCTAGGCGTAAAGGTACTTACATTTTATGTAGAAGTGGTCAGAAATACTAAAATAAAATTAGTTTTATAATGAAATTTTGAATTGTCTAGTTCCAGCGCTTTCTCCAGCTTGAAAGAACATAATCAGTGATGATAAAAAAGAATTTGTGAAAAGTCACAGAATTCATAGTTCAAGATACCTTCATCTTCGTCCTCAGCATCTTCTGCCTCCATTGGATCATACTCCTCTTGATTATTGTCATCTTCTGTTTCTTCTTCATCTTTAGAATCATCTTTCCTTTTATCTTCCCTCTGTAACAGAAGTTCCTAAATATTTATCTAGTCAGAATCAAAATGCAGCAAAGTAAGAACCTTACTACCAGTCAGTCAAAATTTGGCTACATTTCTGCGTAGTCACCTAACAACACAGATATGAATCTATGTGATACAGCTGAGTGTTAAAATATATATTATTTTATATTAAATTAATATAATTTATATTATATTAAATATAAATCTGTATTTTTTTAAATTACTGAATATAATGGAAGCATATTTTAATAGATCAGAAAGTCAAATCAATTAACTAGCATTATAAGAGCTGAGTTTTTGAAAGCAATAATGTAAAATTGAAATAGAAACACTTTAATATTGATCCAGACAGGCTAGAACTGCATATGAGCTAACTGCAGACCTTCTTCTCATCTCTCTCTTCTTTTTTATCTTTATCATCTCCAGATTTTCTTCTCTTAGGTTTTGGATCATCCGTTTCATCATCTTTTTCTTCTTTTTTTTCTTTTCTGTCATCTTTTTTGCTTTTTTTGTCCTTTTTGTCCTCTCTCTCTGGGAGAGAAATCAGTGCTTTGTAAATTCTGACACCAAAATCTCTTTGAAGCATTTCATTGAAGAGTTCTGCAAACAACGATACCTGTAACATAAAGAAGAAAGAAAAGAGAAGCGATAAAAAGTTTTAAACCATGTATTAAAATTGTATATAATAATGATAAAATCGCTATGAGGTGCCATCTTAACAACTTGCATCATATCAGAATTTTATGGAGTGTCAGATTTCTCACTATCTGTTCTGAATATGGAATCCTTAAACAGCTTTACAAATTCCATTTGGTGTCTGAAAATCTGTGTATTCCTCTGGATACCGTGCAGTGACTCCACTGCTATTGTACCATGTACTGAAGACTCAGCAATTTACAAATTTTTACACAAAAATTAAAAACAAACTAGAACAGCTAACTGGAAGTAGCAGAGCTGAGTTACCTCAAAGGAATGTTCTTTATTATCTTCTAATCTGTAGTCCAGAAGAACACTCAGAGACATAATGCTGCAGTCAAACTTGCCGCTCTTTGCTGCCCAGTTTGGGTGCACGATGATGGCCGGCTCATCCGGCAGGATGTAGCGTCGCTCCCGCCGCTGACGTTCCAGCTCCTCTTGGCGTTTCCTTTCCTCTTCCTAAAAATGAACCAAAAACCAACATGAGGCATAGTCCAAAGCTCAACTTTCAGCCCCTACATTAGTTTTTAGGACTCACTGCTCTGAGGAAAGCCTAAGCTGTTGAGAGCAATGCACAGTTGTACAGCACAGCAAGCTGTTTGCTCCTTATAAAGGAAAAGAAACCTCATCTCTCCAAAGACACCCAACACAGCTTTAATGATTACCAGATGACAATTTTACTTAACTCTTGATTATGGGAAATGCAATCTACCTGACAAAAATGAAACTAAGGGTTACAAAAAGGTAAAATGCCACCATCTTACTGATTGCCAAGAGAAAAATACTTAAGTCTCTTGACTACAAAAAAAATCATGGCAGAGCTTGTGCTTTATAAAAAGCCAGCACAATATCACAGCTCCCCTCCAATGCTAAAGAAAGCTGTGGCAAGAAACCCAAGCTAGTTGAACCCCATCCAAGCTGTGGGAGAAGGCAGCAGCTGACAGAATTAGCAAGCACATGGCCTTTCCTCCCTCAGCAAGGTTTACAGAGATATATCAAAATATAAAACTTCCAATCACCCCATACAGGTTACCAGGTAACACACAAAAAGGCAGGTTTAAAAGCTACTGAAGCACAAACCATTCTCCAGACAATTCTGTCCCTTTTCTGTGGTTGAGCTTTGAGCTTACTGCACAGATTTTGTTTATTTTTGTGAAACAGCAAACCAGGCTAAGCACTGCAACTACAAACTGCAAAACTGAGAAACTCCAATGCACAGCAAGTATCCAAAAGGAAAAAAATAAAGCTTCATAATAAGGGAAAACAAACCCAAGCAAACCATCTGCCACGTGAAGAAGATGGACTGAGACACAGAGGCCAACAGAACCAAGCAACTGCTTTTCATGTAGGTTTAAGGAATTAAGGCCTTGCTCACTTTTTTTGAGCATGGCTATTCTCAGAAGGCTGGGATTTATTTTTCCTTACATTTAAAGTCAAACATTAATTCACATGCCCTAGTGCAGTTGCACATTTAAGCTGATTTAGCTGATTTGGCCAAGATTTCTTCCCAGTTCAGCAGCTCAAGGCACAGCAAAAGTTCCCAGTAAGTCACCTGTAACAACAAAATCCAAGCACAAGCAGGCACATGCCTCTACTTTTTATGTTTATGCATATTTATACAAATGTTTCATATATTTAATGGAAACTATGGAGTTAAACCAAGTATGTCCAAATCCTAACCTCTTTATCATCTTCGGATTTCCTATCCTCCTCCTCCTCCTCTTCTTTTTCAGATTTCTCCAGCTCCTTTTGCTCTTCCTTTTGTTCCTCTACTTTCAGCTGCTTTGTAAGTCGAGCTATCAGCTGAGATTTCAGTCCCTTAGAGCTAAGGGTTCGACTTTCTAACTCTTTGCGAAGGTCATTTACCTGATAAATAAAAGTTTTGTGAGTGGTATCAAGCAGTGACATCACAAAACATTTGTTTAGTAGAGAAAGTGAGGAAAAAACTCAGCAGCACTGAGAAGTCAACTGTATTTTTTTAAACATGTGCTGAAAAACGCTAATAGTTACTGATAACAAAAACATATTACATTTAAAGTGATGTTTTCCACAAAGAAACTTCTTGCTGAGGAACTTTTCACAGAGGCAGAGAAAGGATTTTGCAAGAGTACAATAGTTTCACTGTTGCTTTCAAGGAATTTTTTTATTATGTTTCCTGATTTAGTTTAAAAAGGCAGTAATTGTATAAAAATGTATTTTTTAGACCCTACATTTTTAATGTAATTTGTAATCTGGCAGATTACAGCCGAACTCTCATTTTCCAGTTAATGTATCATTTGTGATAGCCTTTAATTGTATAAAGTTCAGAATAGATTCAATTAGCGGTATTCACTGACTGTAACCAGGAGTCATCCCTGCATACTGTGATACCACATCCAGTGCCTACAAATTCAGCAAAAGACTTCTGAACCCCTTTTTTGCTCAATTAAGGGAACATATACAGCTGCAATTCAGGTCATTCTTAAAAGTGAAAAAATACAATGGAGCCAAATTTTAAGAAGTGTTCGTTACCTTCATTGTTTTTGGATCCAGTTTAGACCAGTGTGTAGGCGTAGAGATCTCTTTAGCTTCTCCATCGTCCTTCTCCTCTTCATCCTGACAAATAAAATTAAGAAATTATCATTCAGAAAGCTTGAAAGTATTTCAGTTATTTTTAAAATTCTGTTGCTGATCTGTGCAAGGTCACAACTGTTTCAGATAGTCTTCTCCTAAAGTTATTATTTAGACAAGTTCACACACACATTCTACCACTTTATAAATGATCACAGTGCCACTCAGCCAATACAAGCCAGATCTGTGGAACACAAAAGGGTGATAAGCAACACCACAAAGGATATTGGGGTTACACAGACACTGCTGGTCTCCAGTAACCACACAGTGGGTCATCTTCCCCCACATCTTAAATCCCCCAAATTACTCTTTGTTCAGTCAGACCTTCCCTTCTGCCAAGATGTTGATCAGCCACATGGCCTGAAATTCAGATGTTTCAGACTAGTGTTTGTTCAATTTCAAATATCACAATTAGAACTGGCCACAAGAGAGAATTTAGAAATTTCAGAAAATGGCAAAATGTTTGAAGACAGCTATTCATAAACTGAATCTCACTCAACAACTGGTCCCAGATTCCAGCAACTACGTCTACGATAAAAAATTTTCTGCGCATCATAAGCACAATTTAATTCCGTTTGTGATATCAGCATACACGTTTAAAGTTAGTGAACTAGCTGAAATAAAAATAAAAAGCAACATTCACTACACTGCTGAAAGCTGGTTTACCAGTCATTGTTACCAGTTATGTTCCTCCTGTGTATGTATGTTGTGTAGTATGTGGTGTGCATTTTGTGCCTGTGTTCCTGTGCCTGTGAGAAGCAGAAATAGAAAAAGGGATTAGCGTTCAGTGCCTGTTCTCCATCAGCCTCCTTGCGTTCACCCTGAAGCTTCTCGACCAGCTGCTGCTTGTATCCTCGGGAGAGGGTTTCCCACTCTGAGCGGGTGGGAAGGCAATGCCAAACATCCGGGAAAAATAAAACCACTGTCTCCACATGAGCTGGAACTGTACGCCCCTTGTGGGTCTCCTCAGGGCGATGGTAGCGAATCTCTGCAAAACGGTACCTGTTGCAAGGGAAGAAGCATGTTGGAAAAAAAATTCTACAATACATTTTAAAGAGCCTAGATCACTTGTAGCACATCAAGTAAAGAAATTTTGCTGCAAGACCTTGAGGTTTATCTAAAGAAAAAAATTATGGAAGCCATATTTTCTCTTTTGGCACGCTCGTAAAAAGGTATCGCAACTGAAAAGGAGGAAAACCAACAAAATGCTTTTTATACAACTTGTTGTTTAGCCCAAGTAGGTTTTATGTGCAAAAAGAAGTTGTTGAAGAACTTCAAATTTAGCATACAATAGGCTTTCCTGGTATTAGTACAACTAAAGTGAGTGTTAATGCAGGACAGAAAGTCATCAAGAGAAAATATGGCTGTATAACAAACGGCTATTTATTTATAACAAAAGAACAATGAAATGAAGTTCTCTTGACGATCCTCTCCAGCTATGCACAAAATGAAAAATATTTTCAACGCACATTCATTAAAAAAAAATTACAGTATAACATGTCAAAATAAACCCACATTTTTTAATTAGTTCTTAATGCAGTATTCAGCACAGTTGGCACCAATCAAGCTGATTACCAAACAGAACATCCTTTGAGTAGTTTACCTGAACTACCAAGAGCAGTTGACAAAGAAAAAAAGTGGTTTTCCAGCTTTTTTTTTTTTTTTTTTCCTTTTTTTTTCCCCCTCCAAGTCCTGGTAACAGACAAGTATTTATTTCTACAGTGTACTTGGCTTTACAGTACAGTACTTACCATTGAGTGCACACACTTAAGTCAATCCCTGTAAGAGCCTTGCAACAACGAATTGCCGTCTTTATCAGCACCGAAGGGTCCTTTTCTGGATCAGGTCCATCCAGTGATGGGGACCAGTGTCCTCCAATAGCCATAGCTTCATCTTTGCCTTTCATACCCACTAAAAACTAGACAAAAAGAGTCTTCTGAATGTTCCCCTGCTAGGGGTAAAAAGTCATTTTCCCAAAGTGCAAAGAATATTTCATAGCACACACATTGAAATCCGTGAGTAAACCTTCAAATTATTTTGAAATCTGAAAATGAAAATCAGTCAAGAAAGAGTTCAGTTATTTTTTTCCACAGGTTATTTCAGCAATGGAATAGGTTTAAAACATCATCACTCATTCTTGCTTTCAAGATTTTCCATCACGTTTGTTTATTGGTATAGGCTTGTTCCTTTGCAATTACAAGCTCTCTAACCCAAAAGACAGACAGTAATTTAAATTGCTTCTTAACTCTGATACTCATTTACAGATGAGCCTGCTTAGAAGTGATGAAAAGCTATGCAAGGTGAGACCACAAGAGCATCATACCTATGAGTGAAAGTATTCCTGTGTGCAATAATTTAGAATTTAACTGGAAAACAATTCTGTTGTCCTGAAATACCCCAGCACTTACAGCTTGTTCAGTTTAATGGCTGTTTCACTTAACACAACAGCTGTTTAGCTGTTGCTTCATGTGTATTCTGTGTATTCTCTTCCCAGCTGAGCCCTCACAAAACAAGTGCGTGCTTGTAAAAAGCTGCTAACAAAGTTAATTGAGTTTAACTAAGTTGAACAAAGCAGCAAATGTGAAACTCCTATAAAGTGGAAAAAGAATTGACATATAAGCTAGGTCTCTTCAGAGGAAAAATGAAGTTATCATTCAGCTGTATACAAGCTCCTCTCTTATTGTCAAAAATGGTAAAGCTCTAAAACCAACCTTTATTGCCAAAAGTGTCTGGCATTGAAGCATATTTACCTTTACAAGTCTAGCAGGATGCTGAAATCCATCACGAAGTTCTTGGGGGTCCTCAGCCAGAGCACATGACTTGTGGTAGAGATCTTCCATGCTAGGACTAGCCATCAACATCACCTGTGGTGCAAGTCAGAGCAGGCTGGTGAAGGTCTCACTATGACTGATAATGACCACAACTTGCAAATACACACAGCAAAACCTCACAAGGTTGCTCTATACCCTGAACAGGTCTATGATAAAAAAGGATGCTCCTTCTCACTTACTATGTTTGGAAGCTCTTCTAAAAAGGCAACTCTTGCTCTGCACAAACAGACTGGAAAGCCAGGATGTCTGATATTTGAGCAAACGATTTACAGTTTTTGTGCACAGAAGGCAAGTATGTTAAGTGTTTCTTCATCAGAATGTCAAGATATGCTACATCAAGGATAAAAATTATGTATAAAAGACCCCTTAATCAAAACATTGTCCTAAAACCTGTTCCATTTGAAGTCTATCATTAAAACAGGCCTAAATTTTTTAAGGCAATCTGTGGTGCAAGTATTATGTTAAAGACAGACCTCAATTTACTTCAATAAATATTGAGACTAATAGGAAAGAAGGAAAGAAAATACCACTGAACAGAGTAACACAAACAGCACAGAAAGTATCCTTGAAGGAATAAAAAAGACTGTTAACTACTCAAAATGAATTGCTTAAGAAATCAGAGACCTTGCAGGAGCTGCATTTCTTTCCTATAATCACACCTCTGCAACTGGGTGCAGAGAATGGAGGAGCCTCTGTAAACACAAAATGTGGCACAGCTCTACTACCAGAAAAACAAACTGAATTTCAGTCATGGTTCTTTAAGCTCTACATACCAGATTTTTACTGGAAAGTTTAAAACTGTATTTTACTCAAATGGCTGAAGAATATTTTCAGTTCAGTTATACTCACTTTTGCACCCTATTGTTTAAAAATATTCTAATCAATAGTGGTATCAGTGGAAAAGCATACAAACCTTAGCACTGTAGAGATGATCAGCATCAGGTGGATCAAGGACAGCAGCGTTCTTATCTATAGGATCTACTTCTCTATGCATTACATAGAAATTACAGTAGTTTCCCAGCTGAAATGGTCTAGACATAGGAAAAGCATCCACCCATGTAAACTGAGCATCAAAGAAATCGCTCGGGATATACAAGTTCTGGTAACGCCTCCTCAGCTCCATCATATCACAGCTACGGCTGAAAGACACAGCATTATTTGAAAGATACACCAATAAAGAATCAGTAATAAAGTACATCATTAAGAGTTATATTAATTGGCAATACAACCACTGTCTATCTGATGGTCTATATATAAAATCTCAAGAGCACTACATTTGAATGTCATGGATGAAGTTACTATTAAACACTCTTCTAATTCAGGTGTCTGCATGTTAAGAATACTCATTAAACAACATTATAAAGCTATTTTGCAATAGCATTCTAAAGTAACACAGAACCTGAAACAAGTTTATCATACAAGGTTGTTAGCCATTATATATTTGACCCTTCTTTAGTCAGGATCATCATTCAACACCCACTTACACACAACGTGGGCTGATTAATTGAACTGTAGGTAAATATCTGGCACTATAAACATACCAGTCCAACGAAAACTTGGAAAACTGAACGGTGTAGCGAGGAACGACACGCCGGGGTCTCCGCGGTGACCTCTCCCTCTCCCGTCTGGGCGATCTCTCTCGGGAGCGTTTCCTCTGGGGGGATCTTTCCCGGGACCTACGTCTCTCCCGCTCTCTTTCACGACTTAAAGAACACACACAAAATACAAATATTATTGCAAGTTGGTAACACAAAATTATTTCTAGCACAACGGAAGCCACACCTGTCAGAGACAACTCAAACAAGGGAAGTTCAGTACAGTCTCTTTATGAGAGAAACTGATTACACAACTCCTTACTTTCAGGCAGACAAGAACTCTTCCCTAATTCTTAAGGGTAACACCACTTGTGGGTCTTGCTGACTCACTCTGGGGCAAGCAGCTCAGCTCTTGGTGAGGACAAGTCTTTATGGAATGCTTGGATCACAGTCTGGTTTACATACCTCCTGTCATCTTTTCGGTTTGGCATGGGGTCTCCACCTCGGTCATTCCTCCCAGAAAACCTGGATGGTGGGTCTAGTCTGCGAGCTGGCTGTGGCTGTGAAACTAGACGGACTGGGGGCTGCAACAAACCACCTGAAACAAAATGTACAGCATCAACACAGAATAGGGGGCAGCTCCCTACACTTGGCAAACGCTGCTGCTTACTGCTGTTTCACTTGTGTACGTTTTCTAACCTAACACTACAGTCAAATTTATCCATTATTAACACCTACCCAAAGAAACTCAAGAGACCTAAACTTTTCTTCAGTGAGGCAAACTGACACTCTAGTTAAGTGAAATTGGTTTAAAAGCATCTTCTTGAGATGGAAGCCAATATAACCTAAGCATATAGAATCCATCTTAATAAACAGCTAAGCCTTTTTGAAAACTTAAGACATACACTCATTGAACTGAAGGACAACTAAAATCCTCATTTTAAGGCTATTCATACATAAAAATAACTGGCATCCTGAAAAACTACTCCTAAATCAATATATTATACTGATACATCAGTCCCTCAGCACATACTTTCTTTGTCTCAAGACATTTAACCAACTAATTTAAGTGGAGCAAATGCTACCAAACACCAATGAACAAGTAGGACTAATTAGATTGTAGTAAGCATTTGTGCAAAACAATTCTGCTTCAGTTCATCTACCCTTGCTTTTACTGTGGTAAGAACAGTCCTCATATTATCACTTCTATCACTGATTCCTCAGCCACTCAATGTTGAGGAGAATTCACAACCTTTGTTTTAGATTTGCCATGACTGGCAGTGATTCTTCTCTCAGATGCCAACCTGGCTAACCAAAATGAATAAGCCAAGAAGTAACAGCTTTAACAATACAACTGCGAAACCTGATTTTGTGGAACACTGCTGAAGATGCTGAAGGACTGCACTGCTATTAATACTTTCAACTCCCCAACTTGTCTGTGAAAGAACAAAAATTACACTGAATTTGCTTTCAGATTACAAAATCTTAACATGAATGTGACTCTGTGGGGATTTCACTGACCAGGTGATTTCTAAGCTACCGCAGGCAATGTGCCTTGCACAGAGCTGCAGGAAGACATATTCAATCTGAAAACTCTACTGAGTCCCTTCCATTTTATTTCAGCTATTATTTCACCTTTCTGATTAAGAGGAAAACAACCATCACCCACTAAACACCAGAGTGACCCCCCCCTCAAAAAGGCGTGCACCGAAGGAGCACCTTTCTGCTGTGGCTGCTGCAGCAGTGGCTGAGGCTGTGTCTGGAGCAGAGGTGTGATGGAAGCTGCAGAGATCTGTGCCTGCAGCAGGGACTGTGGTTGTGGCTGTGCCTGGACCCCGAAGGTCTGCTGGGCGATGGGCTGCAGGACGGCCGGCGGCGTCTTCAGCAGCGGCTGCGCCTGGCTCTGGTTCTGACAGCAAACACAGCGAGTCGGCAGCGAGCTTCAGCAGAGCCAGCCACTGCCAGGGACACTGGGTAACCCCACTCACCTGGTTTGGGAGGGTCTGGATCCTTTGGGCATTCCATTTGAATGGCATATTAGGATTGTAAGTAGCTTCTACCAAAACTCTGTCACCCACCTGAGGTGTCTTTCCTTTAACAGCACTGCAAACATTACAGAAAACGTATGTGAGAGTCTATCTTAGGTTTTTTGCATGTTACATTTAAAGGTGGGAGAAAGTAGGCAAAGTTCATTTAAAAAAGCTCATAGGAAGAGCATCTATCCCCAAATTCAGCATTAGTATTACTTGCTTCAGCTCAAGGTATGCACAGGAACTTAGCAATTCCCTGTCTTTGGCCCTAAGGCAGAAGTTCCCCAAAAATTACCAAGTTAACACATGCAGACAGCAGGTTTTATGTTTTTAATCACCCACAAATTCTGCAATTTCCTATTACAAGGAGCTAACAACCTCTGGTTTTCCCACCTTTGGGCTTTGCATTAAAAAAACTCAAAAATTCATATGAAGGACCTCAGACTTAGCATCTATTAACATCTCTGACTTTCCCTTCTGAATGAAAACAACACACTCTTGCAGGCCCTATCAGCAGAGTCACAGAATTAGCGTGCAATCATCTAAACCTTTGATTACTGAGAGTATCACAGAGTACATCTGCAGGCAAGTGTTCACAGCTTACCTAAGCTGAAAAAAGACATCTTCATCCACAAAACCAAATGTATCATGTAGCTTAGTCACCACTCCAGTGAAGACACGCTGCTTTTGTGGCTGTGTTTGCTGCTGGCTGGAGCGGGGAGCCGGGTAGGAGACTGTGATCTGAGCTGCCGGCTGGGGCGTGGACAGGCTGAGGCTGGTCGGGAGCGCAACTGCTGGCTGCAAGCAAAACAAAGCCAACTCTCAATCTTGGAAGCAGCTGGCAGACTGACAGGGAACAACAGGTCCTTTAGTCATGGAGAAAGCAGTTTAAAGTGACTATAGCACCTAGAATAGACGTTTTCAGATGGTGGAAGGTTTTTGTGTTTTTTGTCAGGTTGCTGGGTTTTTTTGAAGGTGACACGTTTCTTACTTTCAATGAAGGCTGGCTTTGTTTATCCTTTTTTACAGGAGTCAGCTTCCCCCAAGAATGTACCTTGTCCAGATAGAAAGCATGAAGACTGCATTATTGTCTACAGGTAACCCATAGAGTGGGCTTGGAGATAAATTCCCAACTTTGCTAGGAATAAATGCTTCAGAGGTCATTCTGCATTTATACCCCACCTGTAGTGGTAGAAGTCAGTAAAGGCTGATGCCGACACAAACCCTTCCCTAACTCAACAGTTCATGTACTTGCCTTTTTAGAAAAGGAGAACATGGTAAGATAATGAAATCAGGTCAAACATTTTTACCTTCTCAAAGCCTGTTTAAAAGTTCAAGTGAAAATGGAACTAGAGCAATTAGCAGTGCGTTAAATGGCTGCATGTTCTAAACCTGTCAAGCTCAGCAAGATTCTTTTTAAACCTGTTTATACACATACTGCTAAATTCCTTCAAACAGAAGAGAAAGATTTTCCCCATTTGCTATTTACTGCAAAACAACTGGACACTTGAAGTTCAAACAAAAAAAAATATTAAAATACAATCAACACACATGTTCCCTTCAAGATTAAGGAAGAGTGGTTGCCATTAATTTTTGAAACCAAGGCTATGCATATTTTAACATCTGGATAAAATAAACCTGTACCAATAAAATATCCATTCAGATTAGTTCATTTTACAGATTAAAATACCAAGATGTCACAAATTTGCAATCTTGCATTATCTGTGTTTGGGGATGAAGACCAAACAATAAAGCCAAACTAACCTGAGTTAAAAGGGTCTGCTGAGGTTGCTGCAACTTAAAATAAATAAAGTTATAAATTAATTTTATGTGCTTAAGGAAATTGTACAATTCTACCTCCTCTTTACAAGTAAGAGTTTTTGCTTAATCTGAGTCAGTTAATAGTCCTTTAGGGCTTGGTCATTTCAGCAGTTTGCACATCTGTAAAACTGTGCTTGTGGGGTTAATTTGAAGATTGTATAACCCAGGTTTATTCAGAAAGGAGAAATGCTTAATTTTTTTTTTTTTAACTGAAAGTTAATAGCAACACCAAAAAAATTTTGGCAACTGGAACAGCTTAGGCATGTAATTCCCTTGTACTTTTATTCTTTTTTAAAAATCCTGTTAAGTTTGAAGATCATAATAAAAATCCAAAAGGGAACGTTTTTGGACAGCGTCTTTCCAGCAGTTAAAATACATGGCCCTGTTTGGAGCAAAGTTCAGCAGAGAATCATTTACACATGGAATAGCATGTATATTTAAAATTTGTTTTTGCATGAAGGTAGGCAGGTTTCCATTCTGCGTACATCTTTCCAAGTTTATGAACTTCAAGCTCTCTTTTGCTACACAAAATATTACTTAAGTTTCTTTAACAACTTCCCATATGAGGATGATGTCGGAGACAAATCCTACAAGACACACAGTTGACATTATTTTTAAAGTTATTTGTGATGTACACAGTAAGAATCAGACAAACCTGTTGCTGTACACTATAGAGAGTCTGCTGAGGTTGTGAATATTGCTGAAACAGATAAAAGCAAAATATCTCATAAACAGGAGAATTATTGCCACGATAATATCAAATACAACTTATCTGCTTAGCAAGTTCTAGATAAAAACAATTAACATTTAACAACTTTAATTAAAAAATAACTAATAATATCATCATATATTATTTTTGTAACAAATATTCTGAGCCTTTAGAGTGGGCCCTGATGTTCTCTTTCTAGCTAAAGTCAGCAATTTCTGTTGAGCCTGACACTTAAGAGTATTTAGGGCACATTATGAATCATGCAAAATCCCATAAAGGAGATATATATATATATATACTGATGGGAGATATTGGAGATTCTCATTTTAGATGCAGCAAAACTCGCTCTCCCAAAGGGCTTTCCACAGCTAAAAATCAGCTCCTCCACAGCCCAAACTCCCACCTTCGCAGACCAATTCCGCTAGCTATAAACCCAAACCCCCACCATTGAGAAGACAGGTTCACACTGCAATGTTCACCATTTTCCATTCTCCTTTCCTCCTGGATCCTTTAGCTTTACGAAGTTCGGGGAGCGCCGGCCGCTGTGTTTGCTTTACCTGCTGCAGGGCCGCGGCCGCGGCTGCCGCCTGCTGCTGGAGCGCGGCGGTCTGCGTCAGCTGGTAGTTGGTGGGGGTCTGTGTGGTCAGCCCCGCGGCTGCCAGCGCCGTCTGCTGCGTGTAGATGGTCGGGGAGGCTCCCAGCAGCGAGGGCTGCTGCACGCCCAGGGCAGCTGTGGAGAGAACAGGGCCAGTGAGTGCTCAGCCAGCCCGGCTCGTGCAGGACGCGCTGCGCGATGCTTTGCGCCTCGGTCGAGCTCAGCGAGGAGATTGATCGAGTTCCAAAATTCAAGATAAAGGATTGCACCCCCTTAGTTTCTCTTCTAAATTCATCTACCAATAGTAACCCACAGCAGAGGAACAGTTACATTTCCTTCTCTGGAGCTGCTCATGATTTTACAGCTGCACCCACCCCCGTGTACTTTCTTGAAGGTATTCCTGGTTCTGGATGAGCCAAATGAAGATTGCTGCGCTGCAAATTAACACATTTCATTCTATCCAACGCCAAGAGAAAGCTTTACTGTAACAGCATCTATGAAACAGAGGCCTATGGAACATGTCCTCTGAAATCACGCAAGTTTTTGCTCCACTCAGTGCTGTCTTTGTCTCCGGTGAAGTGGGGGCTGGTGGAGAAGGAACAGCCTTGGAACAACAGAGAGTTTAATCAGTCCCCATGTATAAGGGAACTCAAGCTCTCTCCAGCTCTTAACAGGAAGGGTTTGTGCTGCCCAGACTCAAACTGCCTAGAAGGAAAGATTAGTTTATTTTACTGTCATGACAGCTTTTAATTCGCCACAGAACATAAGCAAATCATAAGGAGCAGCTATGCACAGGCTGTGCTTCTGAACAAGGTATACTCAAGACTTACAGATGGATCTTTTGGGTGACAAAGAACCCTGCAAAATGAGATCTGAAAACCTGCTCCTTCTTTGGCAGGATTTTTTCAAAAAGTTATCGGCAGCTGCATGATCAAAACTTCATGATCATAAACTATCAGTCTAGTGCACATGTTTAAATAAAACCAGAGAGAAACTCAGCAGGGAAACACACTGCCAGCAAAAACAGGTCAGCCAGCCATCTCCAGAACTGAGCAATGCCCAAGATTAACACAGTTCTCTCTTCTTCCAAAGCCATCAAAGACACACAACGGAATGAGGAACAGATTTACAGTATTCCTGCAGAGTCTGTGCTCCACACTGTTCTTACTGATGCAAAATAAAGCTTTTCTTCCCTGATCCAGGCATGCAGTAAAACACTGCTTGTAGTTGGTGATTGTTACCATAATGCTGTGCCCCCACTCAACAGGTCCTGAATAATGTAATCCTTCCTACCACACTGCCCTTTCCAGCAGAGCAGAGTTTTTGTTGATGGCACTGATCATCTTTAAATTTTGTAGTGAATCAGGAAATACATAAACAGCACAGAAAATAATTGCTATCACTATGATCTGTATCAAATATTGTCACATAAGCTCTCCAGGAAGTAACAGTATTTTAAAAGTGAAATTGAGCATTCTGCAGTGTACGGCATTTAATTAACTTTCCCCATGAAAAATTCCAAAATCTGCATTTCTTTAGATGCCAGCAAACAAAATTTGAGGCTTCTCTCCTGACAGACCCTCCACTGCCTTGAGCCTTGCCTCCTACTTGATCACCAGCTTCAACCTGAATGTGCAGTTTGGACCATCCAGGTCACTCTCAACTGGATCCTCACGGATGTCTCACATAGCACACCTTAAACAGACCTTTAAATATAATTCTAAAGTTTTGCTGCTGCACCCTGGGACAGCTTTCACTTTCCCTGGTTGCAATACTTTGCTGGCTCAGTCAAGGCAAATAAACCAATGCATTCATCTTTCTCCTCTTACTTCCACAGGCCGAACAGAAATTACCACCAGTGCAGAAATTTCCTCCATGCTGTTACCTTTGAACATGGTGTGACTATTCCAGTTTTTGTCATTCAGTCTGAATACATGATGTTGCTCCAACACAGGGGGATGAAGTTGGGAAGCATTATCAAAAGCAAATCTCACAAGTTTTCTCCTACTTTTTGCATCAATGGTACCCACAAAAACGCTTACTCCCAACACCAGATCTTGGGATTATTCAACTCTTCAGGTTCACTATGGCAATTTCCATTTCAGCACAGCCCAGAATTATCTCAAGCAATTTCCAGCCCATCCTAAGACCCTTATCCTATTTGGTCAACTAAAGAAAAACCAGAATTTTTTTTTTTTTTTGCCATCTCTGCTGTCACTTTTTGAGCATTTAATATTAACTGGGCATCTATCATCTACAACACTGCAGATTTACTTATTAATAAAGGGCAAAGACAAAAGACAGCCAAGATCCTCTCAAAGGATAACACCTGTAGTAACAGGTTTTTCAAAGCTGCATCGTGTTCCCACTGATTTGCCCTGAAGTATTCCAGGACTTTCTTCTGATTGACTTTCATCTGTGTACTCATCTTGGTCAAACAGGCTCCAGTGAATTAGCAACTGAGTTTGCATTACTAGTTAAAAAGAAAGAGAACAAAAAGGAAAAATCACACAGAAAACCAAGAGACAGAGAATGAATCAGACTGAGTCTGGAGCTGACATCTGACTGCCACATTACTATTACTGGAAACAAGCATCTGCAGTGGCAAACAATAGCATCTTAGGATTTGTAATGATGGCAGTAAGTACAGTGATGGAGATATCTTCCTTCAATTGCAGTGCAAACAACTCCCACTGGCAACAAATACCGCGTGGCACCGCAGCCGAGAGGGCTCAGGCAGAAGCTGGGGTACTAGGCTGCAGCTCTGGGTTAGGGAATAGACATTTAGACATTGCAACAAACACAAAGCCAGTATTTAGAGTCCCTCTTTCTACTCCTAAACCCTAAAGATAAATAAAAGTTAGGGAACCTTGGGCTTTCAAGTTTCTTTAAGCTTCACACTCTTGCAATACAAACACCACACAAACTACTCCAAAAATACTCTTTTAACAGGCACGCACTGGAAAGCAGGCTCAGTGCATTTGTCATGGGACATCTGTTTACAAGCCAGCAAAGTGTGCACCAGCTACTATTCCTTAGTGGGTTGAGATTCACCACATGCTCACCCTGTTCTTACACATTGCTTTAGTCACCTCACAGGGGCCACCAGCAATAACAAGACACTGAGCTCCAGGCACTTCAGCTCTCATCAGCTCTTCACTCCAATGCAATGAAGCCTAGATACAGCAAAGACAACAGCACCAATCACAGAACACAGCAGAGCCAGGACTTCCATCAGAATTACAGTCCTGTAAAACCAGGCTTTTCATCATAACCCTGAAAACAGCACAGGGCAAGCACTGCGACAAAAACCAAAGAGGTGCCAAAAATGAAGAGCTAAAGAGGAGGAGGGAATTCTCCTTCACAGGCATTTCAGGAGTTTGCCCATCATTATGCAAGTTAAAAGTAATTTTCTGTAGTAGGCATGATTTAATTTATGCTTTAACAATGCTTAAACAGCATGGTGGGGGATTTATTCTGGTTTTAGTCTTGTGATGCATAAAAGCATGAGATGAGGAGTAGACAAAAATTCACTGTGTTACGTGTAGGAGTTTCTCTTCACACATCGATCTTTGCTGGCATCTGGAATTACCCATCTCTCTTCTAATACCACAGGCACAGAAAGTAATTAATAAGCCCTCTCAAAGGGATCCCAGAACCCTTCATTACACAGCATGTCAGTCTACAACTAGCGTGTCACACCTTAATAATTAAGAGCTTTAACTCATTTAGTTACTTCTTCACCAGGGATGGCCAAGGCAGCATCCACATCAGCAATTAAAAAAAAAAATCCACCAAAAAATCCCTAAACCAAAACAATGAAAAACACAAACCCCCACCACTGATATTTTTTGCAAAAAATGTCTAACACCGTCATTCACTTCTTCTGACAGCTTGAAAAAAACTACATATCATGTTGCTTGTGCTACAAAAATTGAGACCTCTTTCCCTCATACTCAAGCACCTCAAAGCTTTGAAGGAACCTGACACTTGGATAGAAACAGCTAGCTATGCATAAATATATATAACAGCTTTGGCCAACCCTCTGAAAGTATGTTTTTAAAATGAGTTAACACTGAGATTCACAAGGGTAAGCCAATATGCACAATTTCTTGGGTGCAACAGAGGTGAGCAGCGGTTGAGGCTGATCAGCACACCTGAGCACTGACAGCACCTCCTCCTTAGGAAAACATCCTCTCTGGAAGGTCACAACACCAAAAGGGGTGTTTCTCCACCAGAAACACTGTTCTTCAGCTCCCAGCACTGCCAAAAAGCACTGCTTGCCTTCCAAAAGATGCTTCCTGTGCTCTGTATTATAAATCAAAATAACTAATTAAAAAAGCAGGGGAACAAGTATGTACTGGAACAGCAGCTGGGCAGAAGAATCCCAAGGACTGGGTTCAACAAAGCACACAGGCAAGAAAGAGGATGCAGACATGGTGACATTCCTGTATTGCAGCAGGAATAGGAAAGGACACTACAACGTGAAAAGGACACCAGGAACATGAAGGAACACGGAGCTAGCACAGGAAGAATGTAAAAGTGCAACCAAATGTTACATCTTTAATGGCTCTCATATTTGAGTCAGGTGCTGCTGGGTCAGATGAGCAGCTATAAATCCCTGTAGATACTGTCCTCATGGAGCAGGTGAGAAATCTCTCGCAGCAGCCGATGCTGACCAGTCCTACACAGTTACATTTGCACTGTATTTAATTTAAGGAGGCTCAGAAGTAGGCTGGACCAGCAGAGTCAAGAGCATAGCAAAATGGGTAAGAGGCTGATGCATGCTCCATCCACCCCTCCTCCAGGGCCCCCTCCTGGTCCTACCTCAGCAAGCTCTAAGATGAATGCCAGCTCCTCCCCTTGGCAGGTTTTGTGCAGCTTTCCCTCTGGAACAGGACATGGACCTGGTCCTCCACCTTCCCCCACTATTTCTGATTCATCAGCTGTCACATCAACCAACACATCAAGAACAGCCCAAGTGCTCCCACTCTGACTGCTTCAACATCTCCCCCAGTCTGAGAACCAAAAGCAAAGTTTCTCTCCCACATTCCCAACCCTTTCCAGCTGTTAGGGATTTCCTTACAGAAGGAGATAGTGTCATTTGGATAAGGGAAGCGGGAGCTATTCAGAGAAACAGTGAAAAACCGCCTGTGGGCAGCTGCATAGGGACAGCAACAGCTCAGGCAGGGAATGGAGCAGAACGGGTACAGAGGAAAAGGCACACCGGGATAATGTGCTGTGAAGCACATGGTGGGTGGTCACTCCCTGAAGATACACAGTGTGATTGGATCAGTGCCCCCAGGGAAAATCTGGAGACTGAGGATTCACTTTGGGAAAGAAAACTGAGTCAGAAGAGGAGAGAAATTCCCACCCCAGACTCCTCCAAAGAATGTCACACATTCCCAACCTTTGCTAAGCTGCCAGATACAAAGCCACTGACAAAGGAAGAGTGACATCATATCAAATGAACATATCAAAGTGTGAACTTCATATCAAATCAGAGCAACTGCAGAAACCACACATCCTGAACCCTCTAAGTACCACAGCTTTGCTGAAGTCTTTTCACACTGCACAATGTAACTCCAACATTGAATTAACAAACTATTTGTACTCAGAAGCAAAAGGCACTCCAGAACTGGAAGTGGAAACACCAAAATTCATCATGCATCAAGCTTCACATTTTTGCCTCAAACTTTCTGTGCTGTAAATCAATATAAAAATGGAGCCAGCTAGGTTTCTAAACAGTGGTTGCAATTAATAACACTTATTAGCTAAATCAAAGGAATCTCTCTACCATTATTAGGGCAATACCTCTGGTTTTAGGGACCTTTAAATTCTAATTCAGCATCAAAAAATAAATGCCCCCCTTCGCACCCAAATAACAAATTTCAGAGGATTTTCCACTACATGGATTATGTCTAATCTACTAATAAAATAAATTAGTAAAATAATTTATAAACATTGATTCAGGCTGCCCAGGAAATGAAACCTGGGCAGCACTTAAAAAATCTGTAATGCCTTACTAGGCATGATATTATTTAATCTAGAACCAAGTAATTTAATAAGAGGTAATTTGATTTACACATCTTTGGAGATGAGTAACTTGATACGTTATTTATTGACTGAAACAATCAATACAAATTCACCTGGGATTTCACTCACAGCCCTTAAGAAAACCAAGTAACAAACAAAAACCAACAGACATTATTAGGCAGCGGCTTTTAAAGTCTCTACTGTGGGGAAAAACTCCCGATTTAAACCACTTAAATAGACTGCAGATAAGTTAGTTAGCATCGTGCCACTCTGAAGTGCATACCCAAGTATGGAATCTCCAAATCTGCTACATGTCAGGGTTCAAACATTGAGTGTAAACTGACCTGGCTGAGACACCGCAGTGGCCGTAAACTGAGTAGCCCAAGGGGGATTTTTCTGTCCTCCAAACTGAGCCATGGCAGAAGGTAGAATCTCCTGGGTGTCTATCTTCTGGAACTGCAATCTAGTAAAATAAAGCGCAGTTGCAATCTTCGAAACAAATACCGTCAGGTTATTTTAATTCTGGGGAAAAAAAAAAAAAAATAAAAAGAACCCGACCAAAAAAAAACCACCCCGAAACAACATCATCAACAAAAACCCTCAAAACCAGAAAAAGAAAGAAAGAAAGAAAGAAAGAAAGAAAGAAAGAAAGAAAGAAAGAAAGAAAGAAAGAAAGAAAGAAAGAAAGAAAGAAAGAAAGAAAGAAAGAAAGAAAGAAAGAAAGAGTCTTAAAATATTAGTTTTACATCCGTAAAGCCTCGTGGGCATATGCATCGCCTATGCGAAACACAGAAAGTTGTAAAGCAAGTTATTTTATTTCCCTAAGGCACAACCTCCATCTCCCACTTCTTAACAATGGGACTAAAGCGATTCAAAAGGCCAAAAACGCGTTCCCATTTCCAGGAACATTAAGGGAAGGGTGACTCTGCGGAACCAAGAATTTAGATGTGCTGTTTGTTTTCCCCGGCTGTGCTGGGCCGCGGCGGGGAAGCGCAGGCGGCAGAAGGCCGCTCGCGTTACCCCCGGGCTGTTCCCGTCCCGGCGCACACGGGCACGGCAGCGCGGGGAGCCCGGCGAGCACGGCCGGGCCTCGCACCGGCCCCACCGCCTCCCTCCGGCCCTGCCTCCCTCCCTCCCTCCCTCCGGCCCTCGGCCCGCGCCCGCCGGGCCCCGCTCGCC